ACAAGTGGTGTCGTTTATTGAATTACACGCATATAGAGGTTAGTGGAGCATCCAACGTGTATCTTACGCAACCTACGCTAATGAAATTTAAAATTATGTCCTCTCAAAGGGATGTCTGTTGCCTACAAAAACACAAAGAAAACTGAAACAGTAAGTTTACGTTATACTGGAATGTTTTGTTCTTTAGTGCTTAAATTGTAATAAATAAATAAAAATAGTAATAACAATTTTATGTGGATAAAATTTGAATTTATACTATTTCACCCAACAATTGGTTCTAATAGATTACCATACGTAATAAATGACCTTAAGAACTTGTTCTAGAACGTTAGTTGCACGCGGCGTGTGCTCTTCTCACACTGCGGCCCCACCTTTGTTGCAACAAACAATTCCATCCTAGCCCCCTACCTTTTGGCACACATTAATGAATTCCTTGTAACTACGACGTAAGTATTGAACGCTGCATCTCCGTTAAAATCAACTGCTTTCTCATAGTATTTTTGGTACTCTTAAGACTGAAAGGTACATAATGGCGTCCGGGCTGAAGTAAATGGTTTTCAAGAATAGTGCCCTTATCCAAAATTGATCCTTTTTTTATTTATTACTGAGATTCATTCAGAAAATGCTGAATTTTGTTGTAATTGGGTTCCAAGCCTTTTATTTGTTCGGTTAGAATAATCTCATGACTATGTCACCATCAGGATGGCTGGTTGCCGGTGGCGTTTGGCACCGAGTGTATATTCAAGAATTGCTATCTATTTGCTACCTTCTCTATTTAGACATTTATTATTACATTTATACCTTTAATTCGTGAAAGTAGCAGATATATAGCAATTATTGGTAATATATCCTCCTGGAAAATCTGCTCCCTTTATGCTGAACAAAGTGGCCACCAGCCGTCCTGTTATCAGAATTGCTGGTCAATTTTTTTGAACTTCTCAGAATACATAAATGGTAGCAATTATTTAGACAAGGTATCAATTTATGAATGTACTCTCAGTGCCACACGCCACAGGCAACCAGCCATCCTGACGGTCGTGACCACGATTCATCAACTTTGAGCGGCAGTCGCTACGTATACTTAGGTTTTGTAAGCCATCTTTCTGATGAATTAGATTATTTTGTGATAGGCTTAATATTCTAGAAAGCGATAGATTGAGATTGACTACTGTGAACAGTTTGTAATACCTACTTATCAACATTGGCAATATAAAATCATTGAGTCTGCGCGAATAATGTTCTATCCGAGTAAAGAAAGCTCTTTCAATATTACTTATTGAAAATATTATTGACAAGAAATTTCTCGGAACGCTCCTAAATATTCGTTAGAAGAGACGCCCACGCTTTCTTAACCAGGACCAAGGACAGGGTAGTGCCCCCGCGAGCAAGCCCGGTTATGCCTTATTTTTAGAGCAACTGAAAACACTTTTCAGTCTTCTTTGTCATTTGTCTTCCAAGTATTAATTGTAAAAGTAATAACTAAGGATTAAAACTAAAAATTACAAGGATCTTCTTATACAGCTAAAATTATAATTATATCTGACATCAAAGTTGTACCGTCTTTCAGGGTCGTATTCCAGAACTCTACTCAATACTCAAGTCAGGACTTGAATATTGCAATGAGCACTGAAAATCATACTCAAGTCTGCTCAAATCCTGACTTGAGCATTGAGTAGAGTTCTAGAATACGACTCTCAGTGTCTCACTCACGGATCAGTAACAATTTTGCATTTATACGGTTTTTTAAGAAGGCAACATTTTTCATTTTTTTTCTATATTTTCTCCGCTAAAAATTTTTAGACTTTCTAAATATACTTTCTAAAGCATGGTCATTTGTACGATAATACGAAATTTATTCATTGTTTTTTGGAATTTCACCATAAGGTACCTCCTAAAACTTTAATTTTGATTCCGTTGTGAAGATACCTACAGAAGTTATCTATCCTGTAATAATCAACCACAGTTGGGCGATGTAAATTAAATATCGTAAGAACTACAAGTCACATACGCAAAATGGCGCCTTGACGTCGAGTTGAGGACACCAGCCCGTTACACCGAAGTACCAAGTATATTTGGTAAAATATACTTGGGTTATTTGCACCGATTCGTTTTAACGTTTCGTCTTTAGAATATAATAGGACAAAATAGTGAGCCGCCTCGGTAACATACATGCTATAGTAAAGTGCAAACAACTAGTTTAAACACTTTTATTGGCACTTAATTCTAAGCTTGATAATTTTTATGCGGAACTAACTTTTTTGAATTAGTAAGAAAAGAGTCTGCGGTCGATATTTTTACGAAGTAATTTCGGCCTGATGATTAAAGAAATAATTCAAAACTAGAATTCGGAAAAAGCATTTAGCGCATCTACGACTCGTACGATCGACCAAGATCATTAAGTCCATGTACGGTTTGAGTAAAAGAAGTGTTAATGATTAATAGAATGGATAATCCAGATGACATTCACCGGTGCAAATTTCTTCAGCTATACCAATTTTGTCTTTGAATAATTTGTTAAATAGGGAAAAATCTCGTATGTCCACGCCGCGGTGAAAACGATTTGACATAGTTTTCGTAATACTTCACCGCAGACTTGTTTGAACCATGTTTGCGTCGGGGTAGTTATGTACGAATTGATAGATAAGATACGCACTTCCTCTGGACTTACTGAGGTCTTATTATCTGATCGCTATCGGAATCTAGTTCCTTGTTTATCTACGTTATTGATAAGGACGCTTCGACACACCGAAACGAGTTCTGTTAAGATAAAAACTACTTAAGGCTTAAGGCGCATTAAAACATTACTCGATTGACACTGACATTGAATATTGTTTTCATATTAGCATTTTACTGCGAGCTGCCAAACCGAGTTACGTAATTACGGGCTTTTGTCACATCAGCGTTATTTTGCTCTTTATGACGAAAAAAAAATGTTAACGCTATTCTAACTTCGTCGTAATCTCCGTAGTCCAATAGGGGCGCATTATATCATACAAATCTGGAACAGAAAAAGGATGTTCTCACTACGTATTCGTCATATACGCATGTTTATAAAGATCCCCAGTTGGTAGTCGCGGCGCACTATCAACAGTCCCAAGTAATTGTCGATATTAACTTCAATTGATGCTGATTATGGCCCGCTGCAACGTGAAGACGGCCGCCGGCGACCCTCGTGAACAGAACGCGATTCCCTTAATTACATCACCTACTGATTTATATAAGATGCCAGCTAGAGCCAAACCGCGGTACATTTTATCTCCAAACTCAACAGAGAAGAAGTTTCGAAATTGTATGTGATTGAATAGCTCAGACTTAAATTGTTATTTATTTTACCTATCCTTTGTCTATTTTGGATTATGAAAAGAATGAGATGACGTTGTTTCTCCTTTGTGTTCATGTCATAGCGCAGAATGATATAAGGCGATGTATCGCTCGCGAGATACATACGAGTGGCAGGATGTGGCGTCGCAAATGCAGTTCCTAGGGAGAGGCTAGATTTAGGTCGCGGCGTCGCGCTGCCCCAGGTCAGGACCTGACCTACTTTAGCATACAATGTATTTGCATCAATAACTCACGTTCGGCCCCCGAATATCTGCGCGAACGACCTATGACTTCTGTCAATTATCGCGCGTCACTAAGATTAGTAATAATTCTACACTAACTCATTACGTAAAAACTAAAAAAAATTGCTAAAATCAAATAGACACAAAAATAACGTTGTGAAAATGTACGTACTTGAATAGTGCAGTCGCAAGCACACAACAAGCTCGACATTTCAGACCGTTCTTATTGCAAGCACCATAAAGATGAATTTAAATGTTAACTGTTGCTCTGTGGACGTGCTCTTGGCCGTACATATCTGATTATGACACTTATAGTATTATAAAAGTCTGTATTTATTCACATTTATTCGTCGAATCTTTCTCTTATATTGTATTACAATGATGTTGTTAGGATACAGGAGGAAAAATCGCCGGGAGCCAGACACGAGGCTTACACGCGTCTGTATAAATCCACCCCACCCGCTCTTATTCCGAGAATTGCGGTTGCCATGGTATTCCCTGTTCCCACCGAGTTTTACATAATCAAAGCCGACTATATGCGCACAGATTTAGTAAGTCACGACACGTGACGTCAACACGCCCACTTGTGATAAACATGTGACAAACAACCCTCCCTTTCGAAGATCTAATGTGAACTATTTTTTTTAATATAATGTCGCGCTTTGAAAGTTTGTTTGTTTTCTATTGGCTCAGTTTTAATGACAGTTTAAAGTGTCGGTTTTCTCGGCGAAAGAAACTTCTTTTTTTTTTTTTTAATTTACATTGCTCCCGCTAAATAAATAATAAAGGTTGAAGGGGCCACATTGCCCTAACCATCTCATAAATAGGTTCATGTCGTAAAATGTCACGCATAGATATTAAGGTAGGAATAAAGGAAGTTAAGAAGTTAGAAGCTATATAAAAATGTTGGTATATAACCATTTTATAAAAAATAATTTACATTTGTTTATTAAAGATATTGACATCAACCCTCGAAATTACAGAAATCCAAACAACTTTTACCAAACCAAATACAGACTAATTTTTTTTTTGAAAAGGTGCCTAGATGAAAAAATATAATCAAAACTGTTTGTGCATGTGTGCCAGAATTTATAATACAAATTTAATGACATTCAAGACTTGCCCATTAAATTATTTAAGACGATGTTATACGAATTGTTAAGGTATTAAGATAAATATTATTATAGTATTAGCGATTTTTTAAATAATTATTGTTATATAACAGAATTTAAATTAATTTAAATACCTGTGATATTATTACTATTGTAATACTGATTATGTAATTTAATGTGACCATGCGACGACCAATGTTTTGCATTCCTGTTTTATTTTGTAGCTCAACATGTTTGTACTCACTATATTACTTTGTTATCTTGACCACCATGTTTGGAGCAAATAAATGATTTGACGAATGTTATTTTTTGCCTGTGATTGCAGATGAGAAAGAGAAGTATGACCCAAATGGGTTCCGCGACGCGCTCGTGCAAGGGCTCGAACGCGCCGGGGGCGACCTGGACGCGGCCTACAAATATCTAGACTCGGCTGGTTCTAAACTCGACTACCGCCGCTATGGGGAGGTCATCTTCGATGTCCTCATTGCCGGAGGATTACTGCGTGAGTATCAGCAGCTCCGGCTTGTACATGCAGTTGAAGAAAAAAAAAATATTCGAAAGCATATTTACAATAAAAAGGTTAACAGTAAAGAGTTTCGGAAATATGGACTCTTAGTGCCAATGAAAAGGGTGGAACGTCAGCACTACTGTTGCTTTTCAGATTCCACCTTCATACATGGACATCAGCTGCTGACAATTGTCAAACTTCACAAGAATTACATTTTAAATGTATAGGACATGCTTAAAATTAGTTTATTAATTCGATGAGCACAAGAGTATATATTACATGTAAAAGAACATTAAATACCGGATAAAAACGGCTCTGGAACAGGTCTCAACTTCTTACATACTTTTAAACTTACTTAGATGACAAAGAAACAATTTGCTACGTTATAATGCAATTACGATAAGAATTTAGTCCAGCAATATTGTGATTTTTGTACGCTAAGTAGCCATTGCTTACACTTTCTTTTGAAAGTGTGCAATGACTGGCTAAAATAATCGGGGGTGGAATGTCGTTCCAACGTTCAGACGAAGCAAATCGAAAGTTTGTAACTGAAAGAGTGTACTCCGAAGGAGTGTAACCGAGAAAACGAGCGAAATTGTAACACTGGGTATTTATTTGCCATTATAATTTATTCGCCATTATAATTTATTCGCCAAATATTGAGGTACACAATGGTAGAAAAAATGTTTATAAGCCAGAGATTTTTAAAATATCCAAATGAAGACCAATATTTTGAATCTTTCCAATATACACTTTTGAAATATGAAAAATCGATCCTAATCCAGAACAGTAGTGTCGAAAGCTTGTTCCCTAATAATACTAATTTTCTACTATATTAATAATCTGTGTTTACACGTTTAGTTCCCGGTGGGTCGGTGTCGATGGACGGCGAAACCCCCAAGACCAGCTGCTGCATCTTCGCCGCCAACGAAGACATGGAAACCATGCGCAACTTTGAACAGGTTACACTTACCGCATTTTGTTGCTTTACAACAATCTTAACTTCGAAAAATGATGATAAACATGGCTAGAGTCCTGAACACTTGTGTTGAAAAACTCATACTCGTTCAATCAACTCTGATTGTGAGCTCATTTATGTTTACATTTGCCCGTGAACGAGTTTCCGCTACATTGGGCTGTGTTGCAGGTGTTTCTGAAGCTGATGCGTCGGTACAAGTACCTGGAGAAGATGTTCGAGGAGGAAATGAAGAAGGTAGTTTTGACACTCGATGTTACTTTTTCTTTGAAATTTACTCCTGTGAAAAGAAAATGTTTGTTTCAACAAACTTGTGTACGCAGGTGCTGGTCTACCTGAAGGGATTCGAGCCAGCTCAACGCATCAAACTGGCTCGCATGACTGCCCTGTGGCTAGGTAAGTGTTGAGTCTTTTTTATGAAGCATAGCAATTGTTGAGTGAGTTATGCACACGATTAGAGCCGGGCGATTGCACATTGCGTTTCTCGGTGTCGAAGTGTGCCACAACAAAGCGTGGACATTGTTGGACGGCTCCGTATGCTGCCGTTATGACTCTAGCCACTCGACAAGAAAAACAAACGGGTCATGTGAATTTAAATAGACTTTTTTAAGTATTCAGTGTTGTAGGCCATTTTTCACGCTAACGAAGAATGTTAGAACTGCATATAAATAGCTTTGGTGATAAAAATATCTAGGTGGGTACAATGTCTTGGTTTGTGTCAACTTACCTAATGTTGGCAACACACGCTTCTGCTCAAAAAGTTGTGAATATTTTTGAGCTTATCGTCCTTAAATGAATCTCGAGTCACCTACGCAAATATGCTCTTCAATATTTGCAGGTAGCGACGACATTGGGTATATATTGATTGTGTTCCAGGGAACGGGTGCGTGCCGCCTTCGGTGCTGCTGGTGCTGGTGAACGAGCACCTGCTTAAGGACAACCTGGCCCTCGATTTCGTGCTAGAGGTGTTCGCCACGCTGAAGGCCGAGCGCGGTGTCACTTCCTTGGTCACCGCGCTCAAGAAGGGACAATTGGAGGGCAGGTTGGTAAACACATTTGATATTATGTTCTACAGATGCCATTGGTGCCGTGGCAATGGTAACCAGCGTGTAATTCATTTATTTACGAAAGTTATTTCCTGTGTGTTAAGTTGTGTAGTTTACAGCTGATTTCGGCGTTAAGACTAGGGTGAATGGCATTTACTAAACAAATGCGTAATTTTTTTTCATAATACCGAATGACAGGACGAACAAGTCGTGCACCTGGTGAAAAGCAACACACCTGTCCATATTTTTTTACCAACAGTTACAGTGACACTCAGTACTTCAAATCATAAAGATCTGAGGAGCAATTGCCACTGCGCCTGTCACCCTGAAACATAAGTTGACAAGTCCCATATGCCTGTAATTTCACCAGCACTCCTAACCCTTCAAAACTGTAACACGCTAATGCTCATATTACTGCTTGGTGGCAGAAATAGTAGAAATAAGGTGGAACTTCCTTGGGCGAATTCTTTCACAAGAAGCTCTACTGCTACTAAATGACGTAATCGACATTTTTAGGCAAATTGAGTGATTAAAAGTCGAATTCTTTTTCCTGTAATTTATTCCTTTCCAAAAAAATTTCGTTTTTTACAAATGAAATTAAAACCATTTGGAAAATATATACACGAAAACTGAGAAGGTGGAAGAGCGAACTGTAGTAAATATAAAAAAGGGATAATTATTAATAAGCATAATGTAGAGCCCCGATATGTGTAATCGTGGTGTTCCCTCATGGGCCTAGCGTCATATGTCGGGCAGAACGACGCGGCATGTACTGGCCTGTCGCACCATTGCTGCAGTGTCATAAATGTTGCTACAAAAAACTTGTACCGAATTAGTGAACCAGCCTCAAACTTTTTATTAGATAGCTTGACTGTAAAGAGCTTAGCAGATAAATGAAAAACATATTGTGACCATCTTTTTTTTCATTGATACAATAAATGTAGTGTGGAAAAAATGTTAAATTAATTACCAGCAATACTAAAAAAAGTTCCAAAAAGCAGCGACATTTCAACACTAAAATATTCAAAAACTTAATTAAAATCGGTTAATTCAATTGCAATAAGAATTACATTGACATCTCATCCGTCAAACATTTTTTATTGTATTGGCCACTAGACCATTAGCCAAAAAATTCCTTTCTGCACACGTTACCATAGTATTCAAAACCCCTGACGTTTTTCTGGAAATTGCAGGTCAAAAATATTTCTAAATTTCAAGATTTTGAGAGTTTTTCCTACAAAAGAAACTGATAGCCTTTTATTTGTAAGTCAATGGATAGCCTAGAAATTTTCCATTTATTTTAGTACCGCTAATGGAACAACTCTTTTCTGTTTTTGTAAGCCCTAAGGCCTTGACTGAGGACAAAACAACTCGGTACATAAACATTTTCAAAATGCATTTTGTTTCTATAATATACAAATACGTGCCCTGCCAAGCGACTGCCTTAAGATAATGTAATTAAGAATACAAAAAAAAACAATTACTTTCTCCATTTTATTACTATTGTATGGTCTCATACATTCTTCGGTACAACTCTGCACACGCGGCGATCTACTTTAGCCACGTGCCGCAATTAAGTTTAAACTTGTGATTTTTTGTGATGAACACTTTTTATTACCAACTGTCCACCGATACATTATATCAAGGAAAGATTTGCCACCATATCACCTGTATTTTATATCAATATACTTATACCATTTTCGTTGCAAGTCTTTCTCTGCGTACTACCACCACAATACATGTATGGAGTAAGATGGCCCATACACAACTACTTGTTTGCCTTCTTTAAAAGTTTTGCTTCATTGTTTATAGCTTTTGTTATTACTTTTTTAAAATTTAGGTTAACATCAACTTTAATAACCATAATTGCATATTTTTTATATTAAGTATAGTTAACGCATTTAAATATACTTACAACCATTATAAAATTAAAAAATAAACTAGCTATGTCACGTTATGCTATATTTTAAGCTTCTGTGATCTCATTTAAAATAGTTTTTAAGCTCAAAGTGGTATGATGCTGTTGTATGTCTTTTATACTAAATGTAAACTAGGATGATCGCTGTGAGTTCATTTGACGTTTGTCATAGGGATGAGGTAAAGTTGATACATTTTTAGTGCATTTGATTTTTGAAGCAAAAGTTCTTTCTTCCAGTTTAATTTTTCTGACGTATTCTGAACGATGTTCAGATATGTGAAGTATTCTGTATTATATTGAAGGCTTAAACGTTCAACTATAATTCAAATGCAATTCCAAAGATATTTATTAGATATTAGATATTTTATTACAAAATTTCAAAAAAAGATATGTAAAAAACAGTACGAATATAAACATCATATATCACTAATTTATAAGTTTCAAAAAAGTTTAAGTAACAACACTGACATATTAATTAATTGCCTATGTTCAGATTCTTACTTTAGGAATAAGTACTATATATTTACACATTAAATTATCGCAAACTTTTTATCAATGTAGCAAATACAGTGTAACGAAGCAACAAATCGTAAAAAAAGGAATTTTTGAAAAAAAAACGTTTTTTTTTTCGTTCATTTCTCATAAATAAATTTGTAAGAAAAATAAATTGATTTGTTGTTATTTTTACTTTAATTTGCTTTAAACAAAGACCATTCATTTAATAGCTAGGCTTACTTATACAAATAGTTTATAAAAAATACGTAAATGAGAGTACGTCGTTCAAAGGTTATATTGTGTAGATTTGTATGAACTGCCACAGGTATCATCTTAGATTGTTTTTAGTATTTAAGTAAGTAATTATTATATGTCTTAGGCTGCTGGAGTTCCTGCCGCTGAACCGTCGCAGCGAAGAGGTGCTGGCTGCGTCGTTCGCGTCTCGCGGGTTGGCCGAACTGCTGCGACTTCACCGCGCGCAGGCGCTGCAAGAAGCGCGACGTGAGCTCACGCAGGCGCTGCTGGACGAGCTGGCCGACGAGAAACCCGTGCGCGACATCATCCACGAACTGCGCGAAATGGCGCATAAGCATTCCATCCCCGACCACGAGGTGGTGGCTATCGTAAGTATTTCACCAATAAATAAGAGATAAGAATTACGTTCTTGTGCTGCATGAAAAACTATAAAAAAACGTACGATTTAAAACTGGTCGACCGTTTTTCATATTAAAAATATAAAACATTTTTTTATAATACCAAATAACGGGATGAATAAATCTTGCGTCTGGTGGTAAGGGACACGCGTGTCCTTAACAGTTGCAGTGCCACCTCAGAGCTTTAAATCGCAAATGTCTTAGGTGCACTACTATTGCACCCGTCACCTTGAGACGATAAGTTGACAAGTACCATGTGCCTGTAAATTCACTAGTACCAAACCGGAACGCAGTAATGCTCGCATTACTGCTTGGCGACAGTAATATGTAAGGTTACGGTGGTGCGTTCAGTGGTGGTGCTTACATTACTAGAAGGATCTAGTCATTAGGCTGGCGCCACGCAAGTTTGACTTCCATTTGTCACTTTTAGATCAAAATAGTTTATCACCGAGTCACTCGTAATCTTCCGTGATGAAACTCGATGACGAGTCGGAGTGGCGTGACGAGGCGTCGCGAACTGGGTGCGGCCGAGTCTTTCGGCCAAACCCTAGTACGCTTCGCTGCTGTGGCATCACTATGTCGACATGGCAGTCTGATTGCTCGCCATCACAGCACACCTATCATTATATTCTCTACCGGGTATATACAGTTGCAATGTGTTATTAGATCTGGCAGTGCGTGATGTCCCGTGGCGAATGGAACAAGAAAGAAGAGCTATTGGCCGAACAAGCAGCCAAACACCTACGTCACTACACGCCACTGCTGGCCGCTTTCGCACAGACCGATAAAGCAGAGCTCGCGTTGTTGGCTAAAGTAAGTCAATATTTGAACGCCAGTAATGAGGTCGAGGTTTTTGTAAACACATATTGAATATTGGACAACCAAAAGTTACTCTGGATTTCTTTTAGAGTAGGCAGAGATTGAACCTTTCTTGCTTTATTACAATCTGCAATCCTTTCATACAAGCCCTTCCATTTTTTTAATTGCGCACTTCCACCCATACATTCTCGATTGGAACCGAAAACCCTCCAAAGGTACTTTCTACACTCTCGTCCACAGTTGTGTATATATCTTTAATTCTCCATGTGCCCGAACCATCTCAACATATCTTTGTCTTTCGTCACTACGTCCCTTTTTAACCGACTTCAAAAAAAGAAGGTTCTCAAGTCGACTTGTTTTTTTTATTTATTACGCGATAACTGCGTTTTGTGAACAGATTTTGATGATTCTTTTTTTTTTGTTAGAAAGATTCCACCTCGTAAGGGTGGCAAACCAAGGGATGAGTCTTGTTTCACGCATTTTCCGGTTCCCGGTTCGAATAAAATTTAAATTAAATTAAAATTGCCAAATAGATGCAATTCTACGAACTTTTGAAGTCGGTTGTTTTACTACTCTGCACTGAGGTCATGAAACAATATCTTTAACGGGTCACAGTATTCTTCAATCTGGCACATGTTTTTCTATAATCTCATTTCCACTTACTAATTTATTTGCAATAATGTTAACATGTTATAGCTATATGACAATTGGTTTACAGGTGCAGGAGTACTGCTATGAGAACATGAGCTTCATGCGCGCGTTCAGTAAGCTGATTTTGATGCTGTACAAGACGAACGTCCTCTCTGAGGAGGTTATTCTAAAGTGGTACCGCGAGCCCAATTCTAGCAAGGGCAAGATGATGTTCCTCGACCAAATGAAGAAGTTTGTCGAGTGGCTACAGTCTGCCGAAGAGGGTAGGGGAGACTATTTTTCTTATTTGTCTGAACGCGCTTTTTTAAATTTTAAGCAAATTGTAAAGTAGACTTAAACAAAGTACAACGACGAACTCTTATACAAATTAAATATGTACGTAATTTTTTTTTGCGTCTATGTATGAAAAAAGTTTTAAAAAGAGTTTATATCACTGGAAATTGGATTTACAAGTCTGGAATTAAGGATATTCTTCATTCCAGTTTGAAATTTTACAGATAACGTCTTGAATTGAAAATTTCATTTTTTTAATTGCGGCCATGAGAACCATAGCCTAACTCATTTTTTTACAATATTGAGTTTATGATTTTTTCCAGTTCAAATTGATCATTTTGATAGAACCAGAAAGGCCTAAAAGTGATACAACGAATTTTACTAGATGGCAGCATAATCATTGTTATGGTTTTTAGTCTGTGATCTAAATTTGAGGTGCCATACTGGCCTAAGTAAGATAGGCCACTATGCTGCCCTGATACGCCGAAAAGCGCTATCTCAATCTGAGTAAATTTTGGGAAAATCGACTTCTTGTAAATTGCATTTTATGTAATTGAATTTTATTTAAAAATATTTCTTAGTCGTTTTTTAAATATTTCAAATTAGATAGCGCTATTTCTATTATACCATTATACGCGAAATTATTATAGTTATGGAATGGTATGAAAAAAGAACTAAAAAACTAAAAGTATGTCAGAGATAGCGCCTTTCGGTTTAGCAGGGCAGTATGGCTTGTCCATTGAATTAGGCCACTATGGTTCTCATGGCCTCAATTATTACAATATGTATTGCTGTGCTAGTTGTACAGTCCTGAGTTTTAACTATATTTCCAATGCATGTAATAACTTGAAATACATTTAATAATATATGCTACATTAAAATATGGTAATCAACCAAAAAGGCATGATGTTATGTCATAGTAATTGGAAAAACGGTGCAATGACGTACTAATTAGTCATTTTTAAATTTTGATGAGCGTTTCGAACGCGCGTCACCGTGCGAACGACTCCACGCTCAGGTCAAGATTGTGTTATCATATCTTCTCATCATATACAGCCTGACTTCACCTTTCTTCTTCTTCCTTGTAATATACTAAATGTGAACTATATGAGATACTAATCAGTGTCATTGTATGTGAACGCACGCCGCCGTGCGCACCTCTTCTGTCGTGAACTGCGTGGTACCGCGCGTTCAAGCGCAGGCCACACCGCGAACGAAGCTAGGTTAGATTAGCTCATTTAGTTGCTTGCAAAACTAAGCTAAGCAAAATCCGTATACTTCGTTTCAATCCATTTTCAACAAAATGTAAACAAACTAGTCTCTGACCCGACCGTAGACAGTTTAGCGATGGCCAATTGTAATGCCAACTACAAATCGATGAATTAATTGAATGAATCGATTTGTTCAATTGAGTCATACTAGCAGTTTTCCCCTACATAATCTTAATTTTAAGTTCTCCTTCAAGTCCTTAAACTTAGATACTCGTTCGATTGAGATTGAAATATTCGAGTTACTAATCGATTACAAAAACTTTAATTGAATGAATCCAATGTTTTTTTTTTCATATAGCAAATTACGTAGGCTGTCGCCGGACGATTAAAAAAGAAACAAATTTAATTTTAACTAATTTATTAAAATTACAATATAATTACGTGCTAAAGCTAATGCCTAGGTTCGTTGCTAGAAACCGAGTGTCATGAAAAATTATAAAATACGCAAACTGGGGGAAATGCTGACGTTGGTCACGTTGCTGCTGCAAGTTGCACCGGCACGTTGTGCTGACACTGCTTACACGCGCTGTTGCGATGGCGCTTCAAATTTGGGGCGCCGTCATGCATGATTTCAGCGATATAATTAGCACTACGCAACCATAGACAAGTTATAGATGAAAAATAACCTCGCTTTTGGACTACCATTTTTTAAATACAATTATAAGATGCTATTCAAATAAATACACTCCCGGACACTTAATTCGAGCCACCTCGCATCAGTATTAAATGCTCTAAGCTTAAACAACGTTCGGTTCGAACGAACTATCCTACACAATTTTGAAACTAGTAGATTAAAAGTCTTTTCCATAAGTCCTTGTTGGAAATTTGGACTTGCAAAACTGAGGGAAACCTTTTTCTTCGATGATAACACTATTTTTGTATTCTAGCCCTTTAAGGCAAAAATGCGAGGTGGCTCGAATTATGTGTCCGGAAGTATATTATTGGAAAAAGTGATGACATGTCAAATATAAATATTCGATTTAATAAGTGATTGCTTTAGAATTGTAACCAAACAGTTTTGTTTACTTTTTGTTGAAAAGGGATTGGAAGAGACTTTAGTAAATAGTGACATGCTACACAATGGATACGTGTGAGGGTGAAGGGCGACAGAAGAGCGACATATTTCACGTAGCCCAGCTGGATCGTTGGGTTAGTTTAGTTAGCTCGGTTAGCTTAGTTGGCGGTGTGAACCGAAGTCAAAGTCAAAGTCAAAGATTATTTATTCCATAGGTAAAATAAATTTACACTTGAAAACGTCACATTTAAGCTACTGCTCGTTCACTACGCTGACCTCCCTGAGAAGAACGAGCAAGAAACTCTAGGGATTGCTCTTTTCAAATAAACTTAAATGCTGTGGAATACACTTTGAATCAAATTTGTGTGGATTCTGGAGCCATGTCGTCTTTCCATACATCTTTATCTAACACGTAGTCTTCAATTTTGTAATATGATTTTTCGATCAAAATATTTTTAATGTAGTTTCTAAACTTAGGAAATGATAAACTTAATATATGCTCCGGAATCTTATTGTAAAAACGTATACAGTTCCCCATAAAAGAGTTGTTTACCTTGGTTAAACGAAATCGTGGTACCATGAGTTTGGACTTAGCTCTAAGGTTAATATTATGGATATCTTCTTTCTTATTGAAATTATGTATATTTTTACGGGCATATAAAATATTTGAGTAAATGTACTGTGATGCCACAGTCATGATACCAGTCTCCTTAAACTTTTCTCTGAGAGATACCCGAGAGCCTAGACGGTACACAGAACGAATCGCTCGTTTTTGCAATACAAATATGGTTTGAATATCCACCGCTTTACCCCACATGAGAATCCCGTAGGACATTATACTATGGAAGTAACTAAAGTAAACTAGTCTAGCAGTACTAACATCAGTAAGCTCACGTATTCTGCGGACTGCGTATGCAGCGGAGCTTAATCTGCTGGCCAGGCACGATATATGTGGAAACCACTGAAGTTTACTATCTGAGGTCACTCCCAAGAAGACTGCTTTATTAACAAGGTCTAACTTTTCTCCGTTTATTTCTATGGTTGGACTAGTCGATTTTACGTTAGGTAATTCAAATTCAACACATTTTGTCTTCTTGGCATTAAGCAATAAATTGTTAGCATTAAACCAATAAACTACCTTAGAGAGGGTATCATTAATACGGTCATAGTTATTGTCATGTCTGTCTGTTTTAAAAATCAAGGATGTGTCATCAGCAAACAACACTATTTCGCAATGGTCCTTAACAAAGAATGGCAGATCATTAATATAAATCAGATTAATATAAAGTATGAATAGATGCCCCGGCTACGTGAGCTAAACCAAGTTAGCTCAGCTTCGTTCGCGGTAAACTTAACCTAATTGGAAAAACCGAATGAAGATAATTATTTCGCTATTGTCCATTGAAGTATCTGTGATATAATTTGTGGTTTGCTTGCAGAGTCCGCGAGTGGCGAGGACGAAGATTAGATTAAGAGCAGCGAGTGAGACTGACAAGATAGAAGCGCCGTCCGACCAGCCAGAGCCCGGCCCGCAACGCCACGGGCGGCGCCCACAGCTCCGCGGGTCGCTCATATAATACCCTTCTATAAGTGTACTGTACTGTTTTAAATACATAATAATGTAATGTACTGTAAAGTTATAAATTAAAAAAATAATAATCTTAATAATTGGAGTGCACCGAGCGACACTGTCAGGGAGTGTTTTTTTGAAACTGTATATCGATTATTCGTTTCTATTTTGAACATGTATCGACATGTATGACTACAATATTTTTTATTCAATTTTTTTAGTAAATTTCAATAAACGGTGGCAACACGCTATATGTGTTTTATGTGTAATAATACCTATGATTAAACATTTAGGAGAGTGTTAACAGATTCTCACTATCGAATTTTACATTTGTACGGCCATTACCAAATGTATGTACTTCTAACGACGTTTAAGAAATTGTTTAGGTGTTAACTTTTGGCATATGTGACCAGTATAATAAAGTGTTTTTAAACCATTTACAGACATATTATGCATGTTGGTTGTTCTCTTCCAATGATTCTTCAAATAAAGTATTCAACCTACTGTAGCTCATTGAATGCGTTTATTTCTAGTATATTTTCTTTTTGATATTACCTTCTCCCTATTTTATTTTGGACACAAAATCTAAAGGTGCTATTGACAGCACTCGGTAATTTGGATTGAAGTGAGAAACTTATAAAACCTTTCTGATAAGCTCGTGGTAGCACATCACGAACAAAATTTTGCATTGTATGCGTTGAGTGGCCACAGGTCAGTGTGTTATATCGTAAATACACTGCAACCTATAAAATTGCCTAAACTGAGTAAATGATTTATCATTACCTGATATGAAAAGAGGGAAAAGGTGCGAAACATTGTCCTGAATTAGTGGGATATGGTCTTGCATGTCGATAACTACTAACTATATTCAAAGCTTATGACACATTCAAGAAGTCTTTTAATTTTCGATAATTTAAGAATTCTTGTTAATTAAATAAGTTCAATAAGGCTATTAACACACTATACAGCGCCACACGACGGAGCACGGAGCTGCGTTTTTTAACGGTGTACTTATCTTAGTACCTCGGTTTGTATGGAAAACACGCGCCGTCGAACACACTGACAACATACACTACGCTCCGCACAGCCGCTCAGATTTTCCTGACGGCGTCGTTACATTTTCCCTAACAAATAATCAAAAGATTTAGTTGACACAAAATTAATCTTCATATTTTCTTTAATCTTTGTAATGAAGTTGAATGTTCTCTTCGGTGTGTTTTTGAGTCATTGAGTACATAACCAGAAATAGAGACGAAATGTCATTTAATTTCTTTGAAAACTATTCTGCCATATCATTACTGTGACAGCTGCGCTCCGATTGGCCAGCCCGAGTTCGAAACAATTGACGGGTGTCGTCAACTGTTTCACTTCAAATCGACCAGTTTTTTTATTTTTTATTTATTGTATAAAGGACAAAATACACAAATATGTTTCTAATCGCATTTTAAACCACTAAGGCTTGTCATAATGCGACCTGTATCTACACTTAACTAGAGCTTTGCTATAATGGACGACAATTGCAAAATTACATATTTAATTATCGAAATTATGAAGTGTGATTCCGTTTGGTTTGTAAATAGATGTTTTGCTGCTTTTTCCCACACCACCGAATAGTACGGCATTGTTAGAGATATTATCTTTATTGCAGTAAATACATAATATTTTTTTGGAATATACGGAGACGTACGCACAGGTCAGTAGTTGGCCTGTCTATATTTCAGTGCGAACGAGAATTGATATTTATAAGACCTCTATCGCTAATGTGTTACCAGGAGTATATGGCCCTTATTTCGTCTCTATTTCTGGTTATATACTCGATGTTTTGAGTATAACTGCAGCGTCCTGAGTGAGCTCTGTATTATTAACCATTCTGGTCAAAGAAGGATCTCAGCTACAAGTACAATCACTACGGCGATCAACTACGAAGCGAGGCCGCTGCCCCCGCGCAAGTTAAACGCAGATCTGCGTCTCCGCCACCGCGCGTGCTTCTATGCGTGATTCCGCGTGCAGTGTGTTAATTGCCTAAACAGTTGAGAATTGTAAGGATCAATTTACATTGCGGCGGAACGGAATGGAAACGTCAATTTCGCCTCGCTGCGAGACACGCGTCTTTGCACCACCTCCCGCCTATTCGCCAGGCGTCGCCGACGGCAGCCGCGGAAACCTCGCGAATCGCGAGAATTCCGAGGAAGACACGTTACGTATATAATTTTTGGCGCGTATCTAGTTTATACGTTACACAATTGACCAAAGCTACGCTATGTACAGTATCGTTACAAAAATTCGCTTCCATTCCGTTCCGCCTTCAATATAAATTGAGCCTTAATATATCAATTATTTTATCTAACACGGAGCAGATGTAGACCTAGCGGCGTGAACAAAGGGTATATTTTTACGTATATAAGCCCTAGCCGCGTCTTAACTGTTTTAATTGTTCGGTCTTGCCCTGCCCCCAATAACTGAACAAGAGAAAGTAAACGAAGCTTTGCAGGAAGGATACCATGATAATAACAACTCTAGCAAGAAACAGAATAGGCTATGATAGATATGTTTTGCACTGTTTTCAAGCCCCGATTCAACAACGGGGGAGTTATTATTTTGAAGGTTTTGTTGGTATATCTGTATTTGTGGCATCCAAACAGACAGACTGCTCTCACAACTTTTTTATTTGAAGGCTGATTTCATGATGGGTACCGAGTTCTTAGTTGTTTGATAAACATCTCTAAAGATTATACGTACTTAGTCATTTTAGTACCATGGTAATTTTATCATCGTAGTCATTTTAGTACCGTGGTCATTTTTATACTTTAGTTATTGGTCTCCGAAAGGGTGTATGGATCTATACATTAAATGAACATAATGATATAATAATAGTAACATTGATCTGATGCTGCAGACTCCTTAACTAGGTATTTAAACTAGAAATATCGTATATGGGCTCAATAAATTGATATCAACTAGTTGTTACCTTCTTTACGTATTGGATTTGTTTTATATCAGGGCATTTTCGTTCGCGTTCAGGGCAAAAACGTTCTTTAAGTCTTTATTGTTGTTTAAAGTGATGTAAAAAAGGGGTAGGTGATATATACTAGGGGTATTTGAAAAACTTAATTTTGTTAATATTACGAAACACGTGAAGAACATGCTGATATAATTTTAATGGTAACGGTTTTACAATTTCCGGATTGTAACGTCTGATCTCATAATGACGAAGGGGTAACACGGTGCGGAAGTAAGTTCTATTGTAAAGGGTCTAATAATTTTATTTTTAATGGAACATGACTCAAAAGCATTATTTTTTAGCGTAAAAATATAGAGTCAGTAAGTTTCTAAGAATTTGAAGGAAATCAATCAAAAAAATATAGATAGATAATCAAGCTGTTTCGGTGATTTCTTTGTACTCAATTAAGAGATCCACCCGTTTCTCAAACGGATGCTGTTAAGTAATAACAATGCCAACCAACATGATCATAGTTTTGAGAAAATGGCGCATAAAGATGTTTTCTTAGTTTTTGATAGTTTGTTCTAAAATGTACATAAGTAAAACATTAAAACTTGCTGTTGTTGTTTTTGTGGGGAAATTATAGTAATAAATTACAACAATTCATCATTCCTGATGTGACAACAACAAAAGTTTTCATTTCGCAAGTAAATTTTAGAACAGTATCTAAAACAACAAAAAATTTAGGGGCCATTTTCGCAAAACTATGACCATGTTGGTTGAAACGTTCCTGCTTTGAATTTTGAACAAAAATGCAAAATTTTAAGTATTGACTAGGAAATACTTTGTAGATTCTAGAAAAAGATATACTAAAATGAAGATTTATCTGAGTTTTGGTCAGGTTAGCCGCGAACGTTCGCGAAGTTCGTATGATCTTCCATGGCGCATGCGTAATAATTAGGTGGAAGCTGATCACGTAATTGAAACCTTAGAGAATGGAAATTTAAACACGTGTATCGTGCACGTAGAAAGAAGACAATTTAGAAATACTTTTATCACGTAAATCAATAAATTATTAAATCAAAACTTGCGCAAAACTAAAGAGGGAAATTAAAAATCCAGCCGTCGCTAATCGACCTACTCAAGGAGCCGTATCCGAGTTGAGCGTTTTTTGCGCGCAGGTATCACAAACACTGCTGCGACTCTTTATCTTTGTTCCTTTTGTACTTCTGATTGTCGTATTCAGAGATTGGGGATAAGTGAAAAAGTACAGTTCGTGTGTGTGCGTTTACTTCGCATTTCAATAAATGCAGGTGTGCCGTCCCATTCAGAGCCGGCGAACGCTTCTTTAGCAGCCATTGCTGTGCGCAGCTGCCCGCTCAGGGCTCAGCCTATCGTGTTATCAAAGGCTGACATACTAAACTAAGTCTTATTACTAACCACAAAATTGGCTAGACACAATGATCTTATATGATGGTAATACTTAGGTATAAAACGATATTGTTTAACAATCAGAATAGGTATAATTACTTACTATATAGGTATAATTACTTAGATTTACGTATAAGTAGTAGTTTAAAAATTATAACTGATGTGATGACACTTATTGTCTGGGTATATAAATATTTTACTTTCGTATTATGGCTGAGATTTAGAAAACAAACTTCGATTTAAACTAAGCAAGAATGATGCAGCAAACAAATTTTTCGTATTTAAAAAAAATGAACTTTGCTTAAAATTTAAGCAAGAAAATAAATAAAATTTCTAGTTTACTTCATAATTTCTTGCTTAAATTTTGGTTAAAGTTCGTTATAGCAAATGCGAAAAACTGGCTTAGTTATTAATCGAAGTCCAAGTTCTATTTAACCGACTTCAAAAAAGGAGGAGGTTCTCAATTCGACTTTATGTATTTTTTTTGTCTGTTCGTTACGCGATAACGCATTTGTGAACCGATTTTGATAATTCTTTTTTTGTCGGAAAGAGTACCTAAGCGTGGCAAACTTGGGGATGAATGACTTCTGAGGTCGGTTTTTTAGTACTCTGTACGGAGATTATTATAAATCCCAGCCTTAGAAAAATTTGTTTTGTAAATACCTACGAAAAACTGGCTTAGGTCGTCAATTTTAGTCCAAGTCAGAGTTTTTTTTATAAATTTTTGGCCTTGGACTAATGCCGTCTACTCCTTCGCGTCTTTGAACAGTCGTTCGATGCAAAACACTGGGCACTATAATTTGGTAAAATAAAACCCTTTTATTCCTGTATTATGGTAGATGCATTGGTTAGATGTGAAGATTTCAGCACTCGTCGC